TTACCAACATAATTTTCTACTGACAGACAGTTTACGCAACTGCTTGAAGATAAGGTGAGTGCCATAATTGAATTTTCTTCCCTAATATTCTTTTACCCGAGAGAGAACATGCATCTCATTTTCGGATATTATCTGCGAGGCTGGAGCAACATGCAAGTTATGATTCGCGTTCAGATCGCAAATTCTGATTGAGCTTCCGTCTCTGTCAAACATTTTGGCAAGGTAATATCAAGATTGTCTTTGATGGAACAGAGCGCCAGTAAGGAGAATCCTCAGAGAAAAGCTATTTTTTTTAGGTATTTTCTTTGATGAAGAACTATCCTCATTACATGCTTTGTTATTCGGACAAGCATCTTCATTTTGGTTACTGTATTCTCGTGTTTATAGGATATTAACTGATATCTTTTGGCCGTTAAATGGGGGATGAGAACAATCTACTCCGATGGAATGAATAAAGCATTCGGTTCGAAACTCCAGAAAACCTCACGAAACGAACATTTAAATACGTGAGAAGCGTTTTAACTGAAGATGAAAATATAACGTCGAAATCCGAACACGCACTCGAATAGCGAACAATGCCTTCCAAAAGCTAAGCAGAGTATTAAAAAACAGGAAAATTTCGTTATAAATAAAGAGAAAAATAAGATGTCGAATATCATTCCTCCTTTACGGCAGTGAATGTTAGAATATGTACTCAGATATAGAAGTGACTTGAAGCAACAGATATATGATTCTACAGTGGGATGTTGAGAATCACTTATAGTGAACATGTAACAAATATGTTTTAAGTTAACTGGGAACAAAAAGTAGATCTATGCTTCGAATCAGAAAGCGGTAGGTGAAATTTATAGGAAACAATCAGAAAAGTCGGCATAGAGAATCTGTCAGTCACAAGACATATTGAAATCAAGAGAAATTAAGAAATAACAGAAAATGAGAAATAATGGTTTTGAGATGCCAACGAACAGTCGTTGTCACTTTAGAGATGTCAAGGAATACTCGTTGTCATTTTCGTAATGGTCGTTGAAGTAGAGACTTTGTAATCGCAGATACAACTATAGTAACACCGTTGAACAAGACTGGTGTCAGACGTCTTCGAATAACACCCACACTAATATTACTTGCTCGATAATACTCGCTCAAATAGTAACCACTGAAGAGTGATCCGAATAGTGTAATAGTTTAGTGAATAGATTAAAGAATAGCGGCCCGTATAGAAATACTCTATATAGGAGGAATAACGATAATATTTATTGTACTAATTTACAAATAGGGCACAAGGCTAAAAGAGGGAAAGGAGAAAAGGGTGGTCTTCTGTCTTATCATTAAACTTAGCTAGACGCAAACACTGACCCAAACATACAAACAATATTCCTTTCACCAAAACTACTCATTCTTACTTATCATTCTTACCACATGCACCAAAATGTCTCAGAAACTCTATGAAGTCTTAACTAGTCTCCATATATACAATTCATTGTCTGGGGGGGGAATAAAATAACAATTAAAAATCTAAAATAAATACCCCAATGCGTATTTACAAGTGTGTACAATCCATACAAGAAACTAAACAAACTTTTGTTAGTAATAACCCCCCCCCAACAACAACCCTAACTGTGGTAGTAACATCAGTTCACTGGACAAAATCAATGCGGGGCTTTAAAATAGATATAAAACATCTATACACCCCAAACACTCATTCAAACACACACAAATTCAAATACAAAAACCGTTACTAAAGTCACACCCAAAACGAAGGACGCTCTGCACCCACCAAAGAACTGACATCACTATCCACCTATAGATGGAAGGGATGAGGAATTAAACCAAAAGAAAAAAATAAGGATAAAAGTAAAAGGGGCGACTGAGCATGCACACCCTAGCTGAGTTTACTAAAGAGAAAACACTAAGACAAAAAAAACGACCTACACTAAACTATTAAAGGGAGGGTTGCCAATGTTCAACCCAGCAAACGTAATATCCTTCTAACCGGCATCAAAATGCCATTCTAAGTCAGCATCTTTAACTCGGCCGAGACGCGCAAGACTCACCCACCTTTCACCAAATTCCAATGTATGGAGTCGTTTCCTTTTCGTCCTAATCTTGACTTTAAGCTGATGCTTAAAGGACAGGATCAGTTGGGAAGAGGTAAACTACTCGGCCTCATTGAATTCCTTCTGTCGCGTCGTCCATATCACGACTCACATAACCCCCAGTAAGCAAAAGAACACATAGTGTTCAGCCTAAGTCAACGGCGGTACTATATTGCAACAGACGGAAGTTGCCTCGAGGACAAGGAACTTTTCTTGCGACTAACCATGGTGGCCCTGACTTCCCATAAGAAGGAGAACAAAAGCCTTACAAACGTCAATAAAGTGTCAGACGGGAGTGGAAGCATGGAGAGTCGGTAAAAGAGAATCGGGTAGATGTGCAAGGCATATACTTCTGCCCTCTCCTTCAAGGAAAGATTCCTTCGAGAGCACAGACGAACTGGGACATTGGCCTTTTCCCGCACATCCAACCAATTCATTTCTAACAGGTAGTCGGGACCGAACCAAACGCCGTGTATCTTGACCGGCCCGTCCGCCCAGAGGAAAGATCCGGTAAGAGAAACTCCCTTCCACGAACCCAATCGCAAGCCGACAGACTTATCGAGGTTGATCTTGGCCCTCTTATAGCCTTTGATTTCTTTGCTGACTTACCCCATTCACTTCTACCAGCACACCAGGGAACGTATAAAACAGTCGGATCCAAGTGCGAAACTCCGGCCCGAAACCGGCTGCCGAAAGAAAACTCCAGAAATCGATGACCAACTCTATCAAAAGCCTTGGACTGATCTAAATGGATCAGCGCGGAATCACTGTCGACTTACTCTAAGGATCAAGCGTACCAAATGAAGGTCGTTCTGAATAGTCCTGCCCTTCACTGCACAAGTCTGCTCGGGACCAATCAGACTAGAGAGGACAGCCTGCAATCGGCAATATGACCTTGAGTAAAATATTCAACTCTGTGTTTAACATCATCAAAATCCGATAATTATCTACCCCATCCCCACCATCTTTGCTCTTGCGAAGCAACTTGATCCCTGGTGAAGCGTTGAGGTATAGACCCCTGCTTCATCCAGTTGTCGAAAATCAGTGCCACAAAGGGACAAAGACGGGCGACTGACTCAAGTACATCAGACTCTGTAATGGGACCCTCGCACCCAGCCACTTCAGCCGCCTCAAGGCCGGGAAAGTCGGCTAAATAGGCATCGAACTGAGCAGTGCTCAGACCAGGCTCCCTGGTAAACAGCCCCTGAAAGTAGTCACGGAAAGCCTCACAAATGCCCACGTCTGTAGTTACAGTCCACTTATCCGGCAATGTGATGCTCGCAATATGACGACGAGATACCCTACGAGCTTCCTCTGTACGCAGTGAAGCGTCCATGTTCGTAGCCTCGCAAGACATTCTTTTTAGCCTAGCCCTAACTACCAGAGCTTGATCCTTCTTGATAAGCAAGGCGGCCAGCTCCACTTTATTCAAGACTGCGTTCCCACTATCAAGGGATTTGATTGCCCGATCTACTTTTGCCTCACAAGACATGCCCTGCTAAACCTGCTAGATTGAGTAGGCGACTAAAATCAGCAGCAAAAGACCTAAGTTTGGATTTAAGAGAATTCGATCACTTTTTCCCAACCACAGCCCTCGACAATTCTCGCTGTAGCCTTAGTAGAAGCTGATCCAGGAAATCTTGCTCAGCAAATAATGATGAGTTAAATTTCCAGTAACCAGCCATCTTAACCTTAGGCTTATCTAAGATTACCCGAAGCGTGTGATCCGAATAAACTATAAAATGGAAAGTGGGACATTCTACGATCCCTACGTTGACTCTCTTAACTAGAACTCGGACGATGTAGTTTGCGCTCATCACTAAATCCGAGCTGCCGCCCCTAGTCCAAGTCCATACTACCTCACGGGGGTGCTCATTTCGATACTTATCGACGAGATCAAACCCGTCGATAAAGTCCCGAAACGGCTTAACATCCGTGTTGTTAGTACCCGATTTTTGCCCTATACGATCTATATTGGGATCAAGGACGGCATTCCAATCACCCGCTAGGATTACCGAACGAGATTTCATCAAAAACGGCGCGATCTGCCGAAACAAATCAGACCGCTGCGCATAAACAAAATGAGACGAAGAGTCTTAACCTTTATGGTAACACTCAGAACGCAAAGCCTGCCCGCCGGATCCGCAAAGACAAGAGCACACGTCGCATCCAGAGACTTGCTCACCAGTCAGAAAATACGCCTCTAGCGTCCATCAAAACATGCTGAATAGAGGAAGAACCTCTTAGACAGAATGTCCTCACGGTCGCGAGATAAAAAATGGGTCTCCTGCACACAACAAACATTCACCCCGAGGCGCTGAAGATTGCGATCGAGCCTCGCCCTACGAGATTCCGAACTCAGGCCCCGGGCATTCAAAATTGCTAACCAGAGAGCCATAATGAAAGCCAATTAGTGTTGCTCTCCTGTGTTGAACATGGCCGAGGAAATGACACCGACGGCCTCTCCCATTGAACCAGTTCCCATCTGAGTATTGATGGACCCATTGGGAGACAGGCCACCGACGTCCAAGGGGAAAGTTAACTTCATAGCTCTATACAGGGAGGGGTGAACAAAAAGCGGGAACCTCCCTGCACAAAATTGTTTTAACTTATTAAAAGTTTCGTTAGCAAAACACGCCATGGGTGGAAACATAGAGAAAACTTGGTTCGCCTCTGCTACCATTGGACCAAATCTGATGTCCTGCCTCACCGGCACGGATGACAGTCAAGACCCCCTCTTTGCATTTGGGAAGTTCATTGGATCTTCAACATCAAGATTTCTAATCTTCCTGAAGTTTAAAAAAATCTTTTGCAATGCAGAACTACTTTGTTTTCTAATTCATTGGCGACCCTGTACACGTCCACTCCTATGCTATAAATGGGTTTCAGCTTCTTTATTTGAGAAGTTTATGCTGTATCAAGAGACGGGCTCCTTTGTCTTTTAGATAGTTCTGATATTGGAGGGGCGCAGGCGGGAATTTTGACTGAAGAAGGCTTTGGGGTAATGGGGGTATTGGTAGAGGTGGGACGGTCTTTAGATAGAGATCTTGAGCCATCCTTTTTTAAGTTTGTAAATTTGGAGGGCGTGCGAGATGGAAATCTCAAGACAGATGAAGGAGGCATAAGGTGTTGCTTAGAAGAAGGGGAAGACGGTGTCGGAGAAATAGGGCCAGATCTTATGGGTGACTGTTTTTCATTCAGTGATTCCTTAAGTTTGTGTATCCTTTCCGACTTCATTGGGACGAGGACCCGATGCCTGAAGATTACCTCTAGCATTACTAACAACCTGCAATTCCCCCTTTTCTTTCTCCGCAACTTCACTACCGGCGGGTAAAGGCTTTTCGAGGCCTCGCGATCAACCATTATCTTAAAGCTCCATCCCCCGGTCAGATCATCGGAGGAAGCACTGAGTATCTGTCTGAATTGGCACAGATAAGTGGCCAAATGTTCCTCGACAATCTTAGAAAGGACCTCATATACTGCTAGTGTCCTACGCCTACCTTGATACTCAATTCTCAGAATCAGATCTTTAGTGATCTGATCTCGAGTGCTGATTGCTTTGCAGTCGGCAGGCGTGGGCAACAGTATGTCCCACATGAAAAAGACTTTCCCTTTGATAATTCTCTACAGTTAAACCCCCAGGGACGTCAAAGATTTTATGACGGTTTCTTTCATGCGGCGGCAAATCTTGCACGAACTCTTGTCGAGAAACAAGGACTGACACAATTCGTCTTGCAACCGTCTGCAGTTCCTCGGGATTTAACAATAGCCCATCTTTGGTAACAAGATGAGAGTAGCTCTTGGCTTTCTCCAGGAACTCTGTTATGTTGCTCTTACATTTTGGAGGTGACGTCCAGCGAGGGGGCTTCTCCCTGACCGCTTAGTTTTCAACTTTGTTATTGTTAATAATAATCATGGGAGAACTTGGACTGGTTTCCGCCACCTCCATCACCTTTTCTTCCGTGCTTATACTTTGTCCTTTTCTTCCGTGCTTGTACAGAGGAAGAGGATTCTTTGTCACATATGAAACACGGTTGGTTTTATGCAGCTTTGTCTGGCACACTTTTCTCTTTTTTTTCGAGCTCTCTCCAGTTTCCTGTTGTGATACTGCGCCTTGTTCCTCCTCAGAGTTATTTCAATGCCACCACTATCATCAGTTCTGGCTAGATCCAGAACAATAGGCTCTCATTAATTGCGTGAAAGAGGGACATATTAGTCGCAATAAGAGTGTAGCTCTCATGTTCTTGTTATTCGCGTGGTGACTCTTTTTCACACTTCTTCTGGGAAAGACAATACTTGCTCCAGTCGGTCCGGAATTTAGAGGTTCTGGGTCTGTATTTGCCATCTTGGTTAATGGTATTCAAAGTATGATAATTATCTGTATTCAGTAGTTCATTGCCGAAAGTTTATCATTTTATCACCTTGATCACAATCATGCACAATAAGCTATGGCATACGACTAGGTTTGAGAATAAAAAATATATTATCTACATCTAACCCGATTATTCCTTCAGTGTCATTTAAGTCCCGTGAGATCTGTATCCCACGTAACAACATGCAAAACATTTCTAAAGACCCGTTATCCTTGACTTGGCTCTCCCGCGCTGGCACATCCCTTAATATTTGTGATAAATAACATTACATTATTTGGGGGGAATTAACAGACTAGATCCAACGTCGGTCAAATTAAAATTTTAAGATAAAAAAGACTTAAATAAGATGAAAAACTGCTCAATCTTGGAAGTCAGTTTGGCTTTCTGCAATTGTCATCGCCGCAGAAAATGAATATTAATTACAGAGATCGAAATATTTAACCAAATCTTTAGATCACTTTAACATTGTCTTGTGACATGCTATGCGAAGCAAATATCTACGCCTCCTGGGTAAGACAGTAAACTACATCCAAGGGCAAGGCCTTTGATCAGGAGGTTTTAAGGGGCGTGGAACCACCTCTTATTTGCTGGTCTTCCCAGGTACACACCGACTGGGAGTGGTAGCATCTGTTAGGGTCCCAGGTTCATGGGGAAATAGTGAACTCTGAAACTGGTTTCAAAACACTATGAAAGTGTAAAAATATGTTTTAATACCAGCATTACTTTTTTGTAAAAAAATATTAATAGCAATGAATTTTTGAAGGAAAATTTATTACCAGTAATACATTTTTTAAGAAAAATTTATTACCAGCAATACATTAGTGAGTAAAAATTATTACCAGTAATACATTTTTGCAGAAAAAATATTATCAACAATACATTTTTGAAGAAAAAAGTATTACCAGCAATAGTTTTCTTTTAAGAAAAAAATATTACCAGTAATACATTTTTGAGGAAAAAATATTACAAGCAATACATTTTGTAAATATAAAATATATTAGCAGCAATACATTTTTGAAAAAAATATTACCAGCAATAAAAATCTTGTCGGCATTAAATAACCTATTGAGTTTGGTATGCTGTAAAATAAACAAAACCTAGCAAATATCTACTTAGCGCGCCATAGAAAAGTTGTAGTCAAATTGCTTTTATCATGAATACAAAATGTCGACAAAGAGAAATGAAGCAAATCTTCAGCAGATAAAGCTGTTTGTAACAATATTTTTAACGGATGAGTTGATAACTGGATAATAATAATTATGATTGTTACAGCCATGGCTTTTTATCGTATAAATTTGATGAAGCTTATTCAATTAGAAGTAAGCAATAGTATGCAGAATATAAGAAAATAATTCTTTTGTGCTAAAAACTTTGTGAATAGGATGTGCACGACCAATATAAAATATATACAAGATGGCGGTTAGTGTAAATCTCAACACGTAGTTTTGGGGTTTGTTTTCAAAAAGAGAATAAACTCACAAGGGAATGCTGTAACGATTATTGCTTCGTTTAATGCACGTAAATATATCTGAACAAATCCCTAATGGCTTTGATACAGTCTTAAATTTCAGTCCTCCAGCATTAAAAAAAGAGGAAAAAAAACGTTAAAAAAGAGGAAAAAAAAAATCCGTTGTGATTTGGAAGTTACAATGACAATGAACAGTCAACCCACGAGGGTGTCATGTGGCACAAGGCCTTTTTAAAACAAATCCGTTGTTTGAACCCGATTTGGAAGGAGACTTTACTGAATGACTGAATGACTGACACGTAGCTGAAAAGATATACATGATTAAGAATGAGAAAGAGGGAAATGTAATTCGGGTTCGTTTTCGGACAGACATGGATTCAGAAAGAAAATACTTATTCTATTTTATCGATAGCTTATTATTTTCTCTTCGTATATCTGGATTAAAGAGTACGATAAGCTCATGATATTGTCTAAGGTTAGCATAGTATGGCTCAAGACCAAACATGGAAGAGAGGATTGCAATAAGCTTTCAGGTGAGACGAACCTTGCTACCTTGAAAATAACTATCCGAAAACCCAATTTTTACGTGACAGCTTTGTCTAGCGTCGGTGAAGAAAGACAAGATTACCTGCGATATCATAAACACCATTTGGTTGTGTTAAGCGGCATTGTTCAATATTGTAACATATATGGTGGTTGTCGTACGCTAGAAAGGATTACTCAGTGAGCAATAACCAAAACGCTGGTTGAAAATGAAATGACAATCGATATAACATTAAGAAAATACAATACTCGCCAGCGGCGTGAAGTAGATAAACTACTCCTAGCAGTGGCCTACATAGGCAGCATATGACTTCCACTTACAATAGTGTGTAACGTATTTATGAGGATTGGGGCATACGTATTAGCGTTCATATGTACGGTATATAATAGATAGATAGATAGATAGATAGATAGATAGATAGATAGATAGATAGATAGATAGATAGATAGTGTTGTAAGCTAGAAAGGATTACTCACTGAGAAATAACCAAAACGGAGGTTAGAAATGAAATAGTAATCTTTATAATATCAACAAAACACAATACTCGCCAGCAGCGTGAAGTAGGTAAACCACTGCTAGTGGAGGACTAATTAGACAGACTATAGATAGATAGATAGATAGATAGATAGATAGATAGATTACTAAATGAGGAATAACCAAAACGGGCTTTGAAATGAAATATTAATCTTTAAAACATCAACAAAATACAATACAATACTCGCCGAAGGCGGGAAGTAGTTAAACCACAGCTAATAGTGGAATACTTTTATGGGATCCACCCCTTTTTCATATGAGTGGACTCGACCAGTATGTACTTGGACTGCTGCCGTTAAATATCCAGAGTCAGTCAGAGTAGTAAGAGCAGAGATTGTGATTGAGTTGGAGGTAGAGTAATAGTGTGAGGTAACCGCTTGTGGAAATCACAGTGACAAGCACATAGACACTAAAGAAGTCCTACTTCGAGACTGAATTTACCAGACTGTATATATATATATTATTATTATTGCTACTAACCGCGTTTCTGGATCTACTAACCGTATTACCAATTGTATTATTGTGTAAATACATTTATTTGTTATATTTCATTCCTGCGATTGTCATTCATTGGAGGCCGGATTTCATCCCGGAATCCACAACAAATACTTAGGCAGCATATTACCCCTACTTACACTAGTGTCCAACGTATTTTTGAGCGGCATACCCATTTGTGCTCATAGGTCCCGTATATAACTGGTAAGGTTTCAATTCCAATTGGAAGAATGTGATAATAATGGTGCAACTCAGATCAAAATTTTCAAGTCGAAGTTATTCGTTTCCTTTAAATTTAAGAAATATACACAATATATTACAGCGTAAAATATTTATAGCTTATTTTTATTAATGAGCTCACTGTCAAAATGGTTCCAGTACGATCACCAAATTTAAGCAACGTCGAGACTGGTCAATACCTAAGTGGGTAACCGAGCTGGTATACCAGATGCTGTAAGCTTGGATGTGCATGTGGTGTAATGGATAACAGGTCGAAATTGTTAATCGAAGAGCTGAGTTCCAATTTTAGGTGGGTCCTTTATATTCATCTACGCACAAATAACATTGGGAAAAAGTATGAATACGCCTATTCTCCCCCAGATATAGGTTAATTAGTAGGCCATGTATCATTAAATCATTATTATCTTGAAAAAAATTCTTAAAATTGTGACGATGTAGTCCAAATGCTGTTACTACACAATCTACGGTGGCATCTAAGTCGGTTATATCAACATAAACACCAAAATCGCTGTTCACAGGTTCATCTTATTAACGTGATCCTATTAAAAAGAATAATGACAAGTGCTTTTCATGACATTCGTTAAGAAAATTCTAACAATACGAATTTTCACTTAGCCGTCTATGTTTTTCTTCGGCTGACCTGCTATCTCCCTAACTTCCGGCCACGGGAAGAGGATCCTTACATACACTGGTCATCTAGGAGATTGTTTAATTTTTTTTATACTACTCACTGATCCCATTCCCACTAGCTGCTGGTCACCTACTCAGCTACTGCTGACTTTCTGCTTCTATCTGCTTTTATGGATACAAGGTTTATGAATGCGTCGAAAACATGAACATATACCTATCTATGAAAGTGCAAAGCTCTTCAGTAAAATGAATGGAGCACTTTGGTTGATTGGCATTTGTTTACATTCGTAAAAAAAAATACGCTAGATTTAGCTGTGTCATTCTGTCGAGTTAAGATAGCTCAGTGGTAGAAGCGCTGACTGACACCAAATCATCCTGGCTTGAGGCATTCGGATGTCTAGTCACACTGACGAGCTGTGATACAGCGAAACAGTACTGCCTGCAAATCACACACACACACACACACACACACACACACACACACATATATATATATATATATATATATATATATATATATATATATATATATATAATAATGAATCATTCATATAAAAAAGTAGATTAGTAAAGTTAATGATATAAAATGGCTCAAACTCTTCGCAAACTAAATGTTTAAAGTTGCATTAACCTACGAACCACTCGTTTAATGTTATGATCCTTGTTTTTAATAACTACAAGCTGTATAAGGTCTTTTTTTTAAATCTGCAAGTACTTTCAACTGTACATTCAGTCATCCTCAGGCTTGGAAATTATTTTGTTTTTAGTCAAATCCCAGTAGCATCAGAGACGAAAAATTAAATATAAATCGAAATGTTTTTTTTATTTATCTCATTAACTTTACTAATCTACTTTTTGTATGAATGATTCATTGTAATATAAATTGAACTGCACCACATATTTGATTTAAAAGACGTGTAAATTTTCGGGATAACAACTAAGACATTACTCTATTTAGTGAACTATATAGTTCATGCCACATTGAATGAAAGACTCCTACCACAAAAAAATTCTTAAATTACCATATTAGTAAAAAACACACTCTCTGAAATTTTCAAAAATATTCAACCGTAGCGTTGCGACTGCACGCTCCAAAATTTTGTATCCGTTAGCAATAACACATTTCTAAAAAAAACAAAAAAAAACATATATTTAACGATGTTATAAATGTATCAGTGGCGGGGGTGGGTAATTGGAATGTATATATTTTTTTATATCCAGACTCATATGTGGTTAAGAGGAATTCTTATTATGTATGTAAGGGCTCATGACTTCAGATTTCTGACTCCGGATCCGGAAATTTCATAAATGCTAATTTTTCCTGTTGGCAGAGGTTGCAAATATTATTATACTTCGCATTTTAAAAATATTCAGCTGATAATCGGATCCCAGTTGTTTTTTTTTTCTTTTAAATTCCACAAATGGTCAGCAAGTGTGGTAGAACACCTAAGTCGTACTAGATTAAATGACGATTTATGATTATACCATCTACGTTTGAAAGTACCTTCAGTACATCCTATATACGTTTTATTTTGGCCATTAATATCTGTTACTTCTGCTTTATAGATTATTCCTTCGGATTTACACACTTCATCTAATGGACATCTATTTTTATTTCTGCAGTTGCATAAATTACTAGTGTTAACTATATTTTGCTACGCGTTAGTTTTGAAATTTCTGGCGTTTTGTCTATTATTGTTTCTAAATTACTATTGCAGCTGTAACTTAATTTAATTATGTCTTTATTGTATATCTTATGTAATTCTGAATTTTTGGGGGAAGTGTTTAGTAAATAACTTGAAAAATAATTTCCCTATTTTAGATTTTACCTCTAAGTTTAAAGTGGGGGGGGGGGGTAAACCAAATGATATTTTTTCCTTTTCCTCGAATTGTTCTTCATATGTTATTGAATTTCACGTTTAAATTCTAGTTTGGTTTTGTGACCCTCAACCTTTTAAGTTCTTCTCATAATCTTTCTTTTTATCCTCAAAAATTATTTTACCAGAAGAGTTTCTGGATAACATAGATTCTATTCCTTTAGGGCTGTACTTTATTATGTTCGCAGAATGGTTAGATCTAATATTCACGTATTTTAATTTTGCATTGAGTTTCATGTATTATCAGACGCTGCCAGTTTGCAGATTTAATTCTACGTCCAGATAGTTGACAACTTTTTTTTTTATTCATTTTGACTTCTATTTCAAAGTCGAGGCTTTTGAAGAGTTTGAAAAGCGCTTTTCTTATATTGTCATTCTTCTATTGTCTGGCGCTATCATAAGGCTGTCAGTCCCATTGTTGTTTATATGTACAATTTTGTTAATTTCATATAAGATATGTAGACCTATTAACTCTGAAACCTCAGCGCCATCAAATGAACTTTGTGTTACACCGAAGCCGTCTTTTTCTGATTTCTCAACGCAAGTTGTTTCAATGTGGAATAAAATTGATTTGCAGCAATGTAAATTTTTTTTCGTTTGATCAGGTGTTATGTTTCCAAAGCCTTTGACGAAATACAAAACCTCGAGGATCAGATGTACAAGATCGTCAGACACAGAACGAATCGGGGGAATATAATGGTTTTGTTGAATGGATCAGGCGTACAGCCATTCTCAAAGCAAGAACGGACGAGTCGAATGGTTAAATGGTAAATAACCACTGTTGAAAAAAGAAATCGTTTAAATAAATTTTTGTCAAGGTTAATAAGATCTTTAAAGCAATTTTATAATAAACGACTTGTTTTTATTTTATATATATATTATTATAAATATAAGTTTAGTATGTAACTGAAATATTTTCCAATCTGTAAAAAATTGGATTCCAGTTATAAAATTATTAAAAGGTCACTCAGAACAAACAAGAGTAACAAAAATATATTTTTTCCTAAATTGTTCATACTGAAATCAGTTAAATCGGTTTATTGTTTCGCTCTAAGGAAAAATCGAAGACAAAAAATCGTGCGAAGTGAGTAAAAAACAAAAATCGTTCTTGTTTTTTTTCTCTAGTGATCCGGTTTAGCAGTATTTTATTTTTATATTTCGGTTTGACCAATTTTCGGTATTTATATATCTATATAATAATCGCGAATGTCAGTGTGTCACTGTAACACATCTTTTCACCTTTACTCCAAGAGGCTGTAGCCTAAAATATCATACAATTTTAGAAGCAGACCGACTCCATGAAAACATTCCAACCCGGATCTGGAAATGCAATCTTTTAATTTAGGATTCTCAAGCTTTCTTTACTGCTAATGTCTTACGCAATATTTTTACGTGATGTTTTGCGACGAAGTTTTTGTACAATAACAATTTTTATAACTTGTAAATAAATTTAGGAATAATCGAAATTAATTACGAAATCCATCTAAAGTCACCCATGAAATAAAAATAATTGTTTGTAGAGAATGTAAGTATCTACGGACATCAAATTGTCTTTGAATTAAGTTTCGGCAGAAGATTTATCGTTTAACTTTTAATAGGTAAGCTTAAATATTGATACAATAACATTTTGAGTTCTTCTGTAGTTTATTGTTTCCTATATTATCGACTCCTCCTACCTACAGTAACGAAGGTCCAATGAATAGCCCTCCGCAAGAACTAGCTAAAATGCCCCTGATATATATATATATATATATATATATATATATATATATATAAATATAGTTTTAAGGTGTGCTATATTTATGGGATGAATTACTCAATATCAGAGACAGAGCGTATGTAAATATAAATATAAAAGTGAATAT